GCAAATCTTGGTATGCATCAAAGAACCTTTTGGCAAGGTCCATTCCAGTGCATGGGCTGTCAGAAAAGTACCAACGCTGTCAAAGTGCTTGATGAGCTGGTTGAGAGCATGAAGGCATTCACACATGGTGATGTGAATTGGTGCGTCCTCCCCCTCCAGCACTTCTTTGAGAACTTGCTCCAAGGGTTCCGAAACATGTTTTGTTTCAGAAGCCTTTGCCTCAAGGCATGGAAAGCTCTTGTGTGGGCTGCTAGTGTACCATACCATGCTTGGCTTCAAATTGCAGAGCCTTGCAGGCACATTATTCTCAGAATAGATCTGCTTGATTTTTGCAAAAATGCGCAGCAGCCTTTCTGATGCAGACACACTTTGTTTTCTAGGCCAATCATACCAACAAAGGTAAAACAATAAGCTTCCTGCAAGGTGTGAGGCAACTCCTCTAGAATAGAGAACGTGCAAAGAATCACACCTCACCAAAGCTGTTGAAACACCCTCCAATGTGAAGAGAGGGTGCTTGCTCCTTTTGTCAAGGAGTGCCTGTGCTGGAGAAGTATACTTGTATCTTTGATCATCTTGCTTCAATATTTTGACACTTTTGCCCTCGGGGCAATGCACCCCCTGGTGAATAGGCTTTTGCCCACCGCACTCATGGCAAGGATATTTTGTATTCCAGTGTGGAAGCTTGAGGACATTGGAAGTGAGTTCCACATCTCCCTGTATGCTCCACAACACAGCTCTGTGCAGCCCTTTTGTCAAGGGCTGCCCAGCAAGCTCAGCCAAAGGCCCTTTGGTCAAAACCTTGCCCCATGGGTCTGTGTCTGGGCGCATGCCTTTTTGTCAAGGCAGCCAGACCCCAACAGACCCAGGCGTCCAAAGGGCCCCAGGTTCCCCGAACTGTGCAGCTCTTTGGCACTGCTGTGATGAGCAAATGACTGGAGAGGCTTGGGTTCTTGGAAAGTAATGACCCCCAAGACCATGTCATTAATGAATCTCGAGTTTGGAACTCACAGCCATCACCATGCAAGAACAAAGGAACTGTCTTGCCAGGTGAATCAACCTTCCTTTTGACAAGGTAATTGGTTTCACCAGCCTTGGGTCTTTCAGCTTCTCAGCAGACCTCCAGAAAGCCTCACAGTGATGCATTGCATACATTTTATCAAAGGTCTCTGGATAATGCTGGCTGAGGCTTGAGAACATAACATGAGGTAACATCACAGGAATCTCTTCAACACAGACTCTTTGAGTCTTTGGATCTTTCACAGGGCATTTCACAAAATGTGGATCTGGTAACATCATATTTTTGCACTGCAATTTTTATTAAGCCCCCCTGGGCATTGCTTTTCTTTTGCCCAAAGTTACCACATTTTGCAATGGCAACCACCTCTGGGCGCTCACACCCATTCAAAAGTGAAAGGTTGCAAATCTCAGCCACTTGTGTGGCAGATACCCTACCACAGCTCCAAAGCTCTATGAGCCTGGCGCATAAAGGGTTCTCTTCATGCTCAATGGCATCCTTTTGACAAGGATCTCCAATTTGTTGTTGCAGTTTCCATCCCCTCAGCCTTTTGCGCGCCCTTGTTTCTTCCATTCTCTTTTGTCAAGAGACCCAGCTCTTTTGTCAAGAGAGGGTTAAAGGGCTTCTTTTGTCAAGAAAGCCCCTTAAAGTTACAGTTTTCTTTTGTCAAGAAAACTTGTGTGTCAAGGGCACAGCTGGAGCCTTTTGAGCCAAAAGTCATTGAATTGGAGGTTGGCCCTGAGCCTCCTTGGTGTGTGTGTGGGGTTGGTAACATCTATATGTGCTGAAATGCATGGTATACAAGTGTGTAAACATGTGTATATATATATATATATACCTATCTTTGATAATGGGTTTGTCGGTTCCACATACATACACCCACAAAAAAGCAAACATGTTCAGACCAGCCTGTGGTCTCAAAGGGTCACACAGTTAATGTATATGTACACTTATCTACACCTCTTCTTTAATGGATTTATCGGTTCCACAAACATGCAGCCACAAAAACATACATGTTATATGTTAAAAGAAAACTAGACTATGATGTTGAAGGATCACATAGTCAAAAAAACACAACATATATTTTCCACCAATGCCCATGCCCTTCACCCCATGCAAACATTTTTTCAACAACAGATTCCTGTGCCTCTGTGACCTTTTGTCAAGGGTCACAGGCTGTACACAAAAACTGCTACATGCCTTTTGAACTTTTGTCAAGGACAAAAGGCCAGCCTGAGATTGCTTTTTGATCTTTTGTCAAGAGACCAAAAAGTGTGAACCATGGTCTGCAAAATCTTTGAGCTTTTGTCAAGCCCAAAGGGGCTGTGGCGCTAGCCAGTATACAGCCTTTGGTCAAGGCTGCACACACGCTATTGCACCTCACTTCTTTGAGGCTTTGCTGCCTGCTTTGTTGGCAAGCTGGTTCAGCTCCTTGGTTTCTTCTTTCACTTCCTTTGCCACAGCCCCTGCATCGATCAGCAACTGTTTTGCTTTTGTCAAGCGCATTGCTCCTTCTTTCTTCAAAAGGAGCTGCTTCAAAGCTTGCACTTTGCCACGAAGCTTTAGCATGAGGCCATCTGTATCCTTCTTGCTTGCTTTTGTGACCCTTTTGGCCTTATCTGCAGCTTCCAAGGCAGCTTCACAGTCAGCTTTCATTGAATTACATTGGTCCCTGGCCCTTTTTGCTTTGCTCAGCACTTTTTTCCATTCCTCTTCTTCATCTTCAGCTTCCTGACCCTCAGGGTCTGGATCTTCATCATCGAATGGGTCTCCATCCTCCAGGGCCAGCAGCTGTGACTTGCCCTTGCCCTTGCCTTTGCCTTTTTTCCTTTCGTCAAGGGGCAGGCCTTTCTGGCTTCCT